CGGACGCTGGGCCAACGGACCGCTGATGCCATCGATAACATGATCCCTGTCTGCAGAAATGGCTGGATAGGGCCCATGGAAGTCTGATTTTCCGATTGACGCAGATGCTCACCGATCATGGATGCTTCGAGGAGAACCTGCGGTTTATCGGATGGAAGCGCATAGAGGCTTGCCGTCACTGCGCGGCCGACCGGGACTCGTCGCAGCACACGCTGGAATACTGTCCGGCGTGGACAGTGCGGCGCCGGGACGTGGTCGTGGTAGTGGGGGCAGACCTCTCGTTCCCGAGCGCAATTTGCGCGATGCTCAGGAGCAAGAGAAACTGGACGGCGGACTCCTCCTTCTGCAAAGATCAGGCAGGAGAAGGTCGTGTCCTTCACTGTTAGTAGCGAAGGAAGGTGCGAGGAGACGTAGGGGGCGTTCTCTTCAGAGAAGGAGAAGATAAGCCCCTCTCCTCATTCCCGCTCATAAGAAGGGGATCGGCTGACGTACCGCTGGAGGGTTGAGTTGCCCACCTCCGGGAGGAGGCGCCCTGAAGTCCATTAAGACGGGGCGTCAGCTGAAAAATGTGTGACGGGCGCTAGCCCGCTAAACTGGGACGGGTGCCCACTCCGGAGCGGGGAGAGTAACCTTGCTCCGAGCATTCAAACGGGGCACTGCGGGGGGAGGGGTAACAGAGGCGTGCAGCTCTTTCTTTCCTTCCGCAGAATGAAAGAACCTCGCCCACTAATAAGGAGGGAGGCGACTACATGTGACGGGGACACACTTATGCGGTTCCTGTCACCGGCCGAGATGGATCCCCAAGTCCGGGGCGGAGTATATATCCCTCCGCCCCGGGTAACAAAAAACAGGGCAACCCGAAGACGTGGGACACCGCCCACGCCCTTCCGGGAAGAGACATAACCGGCTGCCCTATAAACGGACCGCCAGTAAAAAATGGAAGTGTTTGGCAGTATCTGGTCGGGGACAGGAACCCCGATAAACATTCCCCACATGGCGGCGCGGCAGAGAAAAGGCTATATCGTCCTTCGCCGCGAAGGAACAGATTGGGAATTGAAACCTCGGTCAGGACGTTTATATTTTGCTGAGAAAGAAGCACTGCGGGAAAATGAGGGAAAGTGATGCTATTAATGCCCGTGGGGCCCGCGCCGTACCGCCATAGTAGGATCACGTCAGGGG